TAATGATCCTCACCCACCCACCATTGAGGGACCATTCCATTCAGAGGCCATTAAGGAAGAGGAGGTAGAAAGATTGTAAGAGCCAGGGCTAGTTCATGAATGCAGGGAAGCAGAGACCTTCAGGCTACTGGAAGCTTGCACATGTGAAATTGTGGCAATGGTGGCATTGAGCACAGGACCCATGCCAACTCAATTAAACAAGGGCCCAGGAGGAGGATAGAAATTGGTGGCAGACTGGTCCTAGACTGAGAGCTGTTGGAGGCTGGTTGCCGCTGGGTGGGGGAGAGTATGCCTTACACACAACCTCTGACTGGACTGACTGGACTCTAGTCAATGAATTTGCACTGAAGGGCATCTGGTACAAATGTTTGACTGGATAGGACTTACCATGTGTAGTGGAGTGCATGGTGTCTGGTGGGGGAATGGGGGAGGTATGGATGGGGGAGGGAGTCTGGGTTTGATTGAGAACTGTTGTATGTGAGTACAGAAGCTCAATAAAAAATTAAATAAAAAAGTGATGAGAAAGGTGAGGTTTATAAAAAACATTAATTGTTAGTGTGTATAGAGGGGTGGCATGCACGTACCATGACACGTGTGGAGGGCAGAGGATAACTTTGTGGAGTTGGTTCTCGTCTAACTTTACATGAGTTCTAGGGATAAAACTCAGGTCACCAGGCTTGTAGGATATAGTACCCATCTTGCCAGCCTAAAAGTCGAGGTTTTTAAGTACAATTAAATCTTTGGGCTTAATAGGCAGTATGGACTCATATGTTAACCAAGGAGATTTGATAAAAGTTGAGAACAGAGAAGGCAATACTCAGTCAAAATAATGCTTTAGAGAGATGGCTCAGCAGTTAAAAACACTGGTTGTTCTTGCAGAAGACCCGGGTTTGAATCCCAGCACCCACATGGCAGCTAACAACTGTCCGTAATTCCAGTTCCAGGGGATCCGACGGCCTCTTCTGTCCTCCACTGGCATTGCATGACATGGGTGCGCTTACTTACATGCAGGCAATACACTCATACACATAAAATAAATAAAATATTAAAAAAATAATGCTTTAAAAATTAAACCATCTCTCCAAGGATGTCTTTGTACTGATTGATTTGTGTTTGTTTTCTATTGTGAACAGTAGTGGTTAAGATGAATAGGAGGAAAAATTAGCTTTTGAAAGTATTAGAGAAAAGAAAAGGGGATTAGCAAAGACAGACATGGGGTGAAGGATGTCAGAGGTAATGTTGCGCTGTTGCTCTTGGAGTCAGGGATGTCCCTCCCATGCCTGGATGTCAACCTTTTGCAGGGCTTCAACTGTGGCTATATGCCTGGGAAATCATTCGCAATTTGGGAATTTTCATCCTTCAAAATATCACACAAATGAATGAATGAACTTATAAAAGGACTCCACTTTTAAGGGAATAGTTATCTGTAAATGTGTCTGCAATTAATAGGCACATTTGTGCATAGGAAAATTCTCAAGAAAGCACTCGCAGTAGAGACTGTACAAACTGTCCAATCATGGCAATGAAGGGAGGAGAGAGTTATTTTCAAAGGATACAAAAATGATAGCAATTGTTAAACTATCAGTCCAGAGCGGATAATTGTGGGTTATGGCATTTGGGCCACATACAGTCTAAATGTAGTTTTTCATCAATGAGGATCTTTGCCACAGTGGTGGCTCTGGCCACACACATCTTCCTGGGGTGTGCCTTCTGTCTTTTCATGTACAGTACATGCAGCAACAGATGTCATGTTGTACATGTTCTGTGGTCTGGGCTAAGTCTCCCTTCAGTGGAAGAAGACCACAGCTGCTGTGTAATGTCTAGCCCTGCCCACAACCTGGCCTAGAAGTTATGCTTTCAAGAAGGCCTTATGGCTTAGGCACGGAAGGGTCTGGTGGCTCCTATAAGTTCTCATGGGTCAGAGAAAGTGCTTGAAAGAGGAGGCAGACAGAAGCTGAGAGCCACATGTAAGTCAGTAGTTGGGAAAAATCACTTATGTTAATCTAACTACTATGATTTTTAGAAAATGCTCTAACTAGACAACTTAAGATCATATACTCTGATGTGCCTGATCCTTTTAACTAAAACATGAAACCAAGATAATGAAATTCAGAAGTTATTTGTGGGGGCTTTCTGAATTTTTTCAGATCATTTAGGAATTTAATCAGGACAGAAGTTAGAGGAACCAACATCCCCCCAAATCCTCAAACCATCCCTCCTATCAATCTTGGTAGATTTCTTAGAAATCTGAAGGATTGGGGCTGGAGAGATGGCTCAGCAGTTAGGAGCACTGACTGCTCTTGCAGAGGACCTGGGTTCGACGCCCAGCACCCAAATGGCGGTTAAAAACCGTCCTTAACTCCAGTTCCAGGAGAATCTGAAGCCCTCTTCTGACCTCTGTGGCATTGCACGACACGGGTGCACTCACATACATGCAGGCAACACACTCATACACATAAAATAAAAATAATAAAATATTAAAAAAAAAGAAATCTGAAGGACTGTGAAATGTAGGTGGAAATTCTACTTACAGAAAACCAATTAGATTGGAAATCACAAGAAAGGAAATTCTCAGAGCATTCGATGCCCTACAGGGACCTTGGCCTGTTGGGGCAGTTGCACATTACGGCCACTTTACCACCCATCCCTTGAGGACTCCCTCAGAGCTTCCCTTGATGGAAAACAATGGGTTCAGAGATTGCTCCTCAGGACTTCAAGCCACACTGGAAACCTATGACACTCCGTGAATAACACTCCTAATTTCTTTCTGCTGAGTACCAGGGTGAGTCAGTACACCATTTGACTGGTATCCAAGAAAACAGGGTCCTGAGACTTCCAAATATGGCATCTGAGCTAAGGAGATCTGCAGAGGGAGACAGTGGGAAACTGCACAGGCCACAAGGGGGAACTTGAGTTTCCCTCCAGATGAAGGTTGAGGACTGAGCACTGCCTGAGAGGGGCCTTCCTTGCCTTGGAGCTACTGTGAATCTCTTCAGCAGAGAAAGTAGAGAATTTCCTTCCTTGGGGACTTCCAGGGCCATGCACGTATATTTAATGACTTTGGTTTCAGACAAATCTTCCAGCAAATCTTTCTCCAATGAGCCAAGGTATTGACTGCACAGTCATGCAATGTGCAGATGTAAATGACATTTGGTCAACAAATTCATTAGCCTGGTGGTCGTGAAGTAGCTTCTGCTTTGGGACTCTTCAAAGCACTTTGGTGGTGAGAAGGGGGGAAGAATCAGAGCAGCAAGATTCTTTAAGTACTAAGTCTATGGAAACAGAAACCTGTGAGTTCATCCCTTCCATCCAACTGGAAGACCAGAGGATCAGCTCAGTTCCTCATTTAAAAGCGATTACAGTCATAGTTATTTTTATCTGTATTTCTGTTTTTGTTTAAGTTCTTAAACTTAATTCATTTCAACCCCCAGAAAAGAATTCTGAAAGCTCAAAGCAATTTATGGCAGTCCAGAAAGGTCTACAAAACTCTGCATTCTGGCATGACTTTGGGACCTCTTACATCTAAGCTCTGCCTTAGCAGCTTGGATTTCAAGAAGAGAATCTCATCAACACTGCTGTGCTTTGGAGGGCACTAG